AACTCAGTATTTGTTCTACTAAACTTTACACCTAACTTCTCTTTGATCTTATTGAGTTTATTGTCAGATATGAGCAAAACAGAGTAGACCTTTCGGAAAAGTCGTGTTTTTACACTGGGTTTGACCTGGTCATTGACTGTTAATCGATCCATACCCATGTCTACTTATTGTTCATATCAAACCTTTACTTTATGTTGTCGTGTTTTTGGGATCCTTTTACTTGCCATATACTCGTCCAAAATTGCTTCCTAACATTGTGTATAGAGGAAAAACCCAGAATTCGAAATTGATACACAGATATGTATAAACCCTTATTTTTATTAACCTGGATATCCAATTCGCTATGCGAGTCGACTAATCTCGGAGCGACCACCTGCTTTGCAGATAGTCCGGAGTCACCGCATTTGAACCTCGTGGCCACAAGGGGATTTTTATTCCTCCTTAGATTTGAACATTTATCAATGAATTAGATGACACATTTACCCTCTTATAAATAGATGAATAAATTTCTTTTTTTAATAATAACAACAAAAAAGAAAAGTAGATATTTATTTTTAAAATTATTCATCTATACTATATTATAAAGCATTTGACAAAAACTCCTAAAAATCATTCTTTATGCATGAAACATTGTTTATTAATGCATATTACTTAAAATTTAAAATTACAAGTGAATTGTGTTTAAGTGCAACTTATTAAACCTCCATTTTTAAATTCGTATAACTAACTCCAGATAAACATAATTAAATACATGATCAACATCTCATTTTAAATATAAAAAATTTAAAATATAATTAGAATAATTATTGAGTTCTAACATAATCATTATCTTTAAAAAATTATATTGTAAAGCCGAAAACAAATTACTTCGTTATTAGACCTAAATTAAATTATAATAACAAATTGAATTAAAGAAATTATATAAAAAACGAGAACTTTTAAATAGTTAATTTGATATTAATATTGATATATTTTTTCAAAATTTTATGATATCTTCAAATTTATTTTTATTCAAAAGTAAAAACATTATCTTTATCAAAACTATATAAACTGTATTATATACCAATAACAACAACAAAAAATAAAACAAAAACATTAAAAATGAAGATACATTTTGCTACATTACGCGAGTACCTTTCTGGTTTATTTAAAATATTAATTAATTAGTAGGATAGTGAAACGTTGGTTGGAGATATGTATGGAGTCGTGAGTGGATTGATTTAAATTAAATTAAATTAAATAATGTGGAAATTAAGAGTATTTATGTACCGACATTTAGATCTTTAAATACAAAAATAGATTTAGATGACGTACACAAAAACACACACAAATCCATTAATTTAAGCATGAAAAAATGGATCCCACCCCTTTATTTTTGGAAACTCCTAACGATAAAATGGTAGGCCCCAACAAAATATCATGATTTTATACTAACAATTATTTTAATTAAAGATTTAAATTTTATTATAAGTTTTTAGTAACTTTAGGAGTTGTTTGTTTACTTCTTAATAATTCGGGTAAAAGGTAATTTATGAATCGTTAAGAAGTGAATCTTGTTTGGCAAAAAAAAATGTTTGTATCTTAATGGTTTTAAAACTCTCTGAATGATTTTGTATCATGAGTCTTCCTTAATCATTCAGCGCCCTAAATTGTAAAGAATTACCAAACAATTATATTTCATTTTGCACTATATCATGGGTCTCTTAATCATTCTCACCACTTAATCATTATGCACCAAACCATTCGGCAACTGCCAAACAATCCCTAAAATGGAACGGTTTCAGTTAGGTTGATTTAACAATATCTTTTTATATCTCAAGTTTTATAAGTTAACAAGAAGGGTACTCGTACAATGTCATGAGATACATCTTTATTTTAATGTTTTGTTTTTTTTTTTTTTGTCTTTGTTGATATAATACAGTTTATGTGGTTTTAAGAAAGATAATGATTTTACTTTTGAATAAAAATAAATTTGAAGTCATCATAAAATTTTGAAAAAAAATATATCAAATTAACTATTTAAAAGTTTCTGTTTTTTATACAATTTCTTTAATTTAGGTCAAAATTGAAGTAATTTATTTTTGATTTAACAATAAGAAATTTATAAAGGTAATGATTATGTTAGAACTCAATAATTATCCTAATTATATTTTAGATTTTTTATATTTAAAATGAGATGTTTATTCTGTATCTGATTATGTTTATCTGCAATTAGTTATACAAATTTAAAAATGAAGCTTTAATTAGTTGTACTTACGAAGAATTTACTTGTAATTTTAAATTTTAAGTAATATGCATTAATACACAGTATTTCATGCATAAAGAACGGTTTTTACGAATTTTTATCAAATACTTTATAATATAGTATAAATATAATCATATTATTAATATGTTTATCTGATTTCAAGTTTTGAACAATTTCAACTTATTTGATTAGTTTTTTAGTATATAAACAGTAAATGTAATAAATAAACTCATGTACCCATTTTATTTTTAATGGTTGAGGTTTGAACCTTAATCTGCTCATAAATATAACAAGTAAACTCGTACATTCTCTCACTTGTGTAACTCATTTTCTTTTTGGATTGGTTTGTTATCAAATAACAACTGATTAATATAAACCAAACAGCCAAAACATATTACCAGAGTCGAAGTTGGTATTTAGAGGGTTACCTCTCTAAATACCCTTTTTTTTTTTTGCTAACGGTCCCAACTATAAAAACTCATCAGCTAAGAACTTGTACATAAAGTTCAACTACAGTTACATTTGATGCAGATTAAATTAACCTGTAAAATAAGCAATTTCGTACTTTGTAAGCTACAATTCTTTTTACAGAATTGTCAGCTGGTAAAGACAAAATCTCATAAGACACTTGTCAAACTTTGAGAACCTTACAAAACAGTACAGCATTTCGAAAAATAGCTCTCGAAAAAACAGATATTTTAACTTTTTTTTTTTTTAACTAAGAGTAAAAACACAAAATGATTGACAAAAAAGTAGTGGATTTGTGAATGGCCCTAAAAAAATACCCATTCATTGATGCCAAACAAGAACAAATAAGAATAGAAAGTAGCATATAAATATCCTACATGTTCAATTATAGATATTTTTTACATATCTTAATAAATATATTGATAATGACCCATGAAAAAAATTCAAATAAAATAAATAAACAATTTAAATTTAAATCAAAATAAAAAGGGTTTACTTTTAAAATATCAATTTCTATGTCTATAATAAGACATTTTAAACAAAAACTTCTAATTTTTTATTTGCAAAATTATAATAGATTTATTTATTTATTTTTTTACCAAAATTATAATATGTTTTTTAATTGCATAAAATATAAAGTATTTCTTAATTAAGCTTTTTAAAAATAAAAACCACACAATATATATCTTATTTAAGTGACGTTTGTCATTTAAAAGGTGCTGAATTCTGAAGTCTAATTTCACTTCTAATTTATAAGAGGTGGTCTTCAAATCTGAAATCTAAATCAATAAGATTGTTTGTTTTTACGTCTGAAGTCTGAAATCTGAATCGGTCAAACTAATGCAAAAATATAAAAAGATAAATATTTTTTTATAAAAGTTAAATAGTTTTTGTTAACAGGTATCTTTTGGTCCCTAAAATATGAACCATTTAATAGATGACAAATTAAAATTAAGAGATATTAAAGAATAAGCTTACCACTTAAAATTTCAAAATACATTTAAATCTTTTTAATTTTTATTTTAAAAATAAAATGAACGGTCTTAATAATCAAACATCTAAAAGAATCAGACTTTTTAGAGATATTAAAAAAAAAGCATTAGATTTAAATATGCCACTACATTTATAATAAAAAAAATATATATTATAACAAACAGAAAGAGTTAGTATTTTAAAGGTTTTAACTTTTAAGAGTTGGTGCATGTTTATTTATTATTATTATTTTAATATTTAATAATTTTACATTGATAGATAAGATATTTTAGATTGCACACTCATAAGAGAGTCTTAATTGCACCATCATCCCTACACATGCATCAATATACAATTTTGGCTTCAAATTTCACATTATTGTGGGAAAAAGGGTTATGCTATTTTACAGAGCAAAGCAACCTGATTATACTGGTCCTACAACGATTATGAATATGACGCAAAGCACTGTGTCCTAGGACAGGCTGAGCAACGTCATATCTAAAACTCCAGAGTTTATTATGAAAACTTGAGTTCTGTTCTCTTTAGACAATTCAACATGGACTGATTTCACATCATTAACTACACAAGAAAATACATCGGTTTAGGGTTTAAGATGCCTAAGTTTTCTTCACATTTTTTCTTTTAATTCTCTTTAAACTTGAACAGATAACAACCTTTTTTTGAAAAGTGAAAGACTTCTTTGAGTGCGGGATCAAAATCTGAAAAACCAAACCAAACAAATCTAAGTGTATCACAACCGAAAGTAAATTAGAAAGATGATAAGATACATGCAAACCGTGTCTTTATGTGTAAAGGTATAGAGACTGAACCACAAGGGTAGTGCTTGATTGGTTTGAGTTTGACTCTCAAATTCAAAAGTACCCGGGGATCTCAGGTTCAAATCCAAGGAGGAAGAAAAATCCCCTTGTGGCCACGGAGGTTCAAATGCGGTGACTTTGAGCTATCTGCAAAACAGGTGGTCATCCTGAAATTAGTCAGCTCGCATAGCGGGTTGGATATCCAGGTTAATAAAAAAAAGGTATAAAGGCTGTTTCTAAAGGATTGAAATCTGAAATTGGTATATCCAAAAGGATGAATTTGTAATTAACCAAAAAAGGAAGGAGGTGGAGAGGGCCTGAGTTGCAAGTGTCAAGAAAGGGACAAGGTCCCACCTTTGAAACCCACCTTGAGGACTCTCTCTCTCTTGCACTTTTTACCCCTTTTTTCTAAGATATTTTTGATGCGTTGTCAGATATTTTTGCATCTCCAAAATCAACACCTACCTCACAAGACACACCCAAACACAGGAACAGACTAGAAAAAGAGAAAGAAAATCTTGAAAGCTCTCATCTTTATTTAGGGTTTTCAACTTCTTCAACCAAAAAAGAACTCTGCTTTGGTCCTGCATATCTTGGATTCACCTGGTAAACTTTCTGGGTTCTGTTCCTTTTAGCTTTATACAAATTGGGTTTTCTGGGTTTGTTCCATTTCTTCATGATCTATAAGTTATGATTTGATTCATTGATTGGACATTTCTCTTTTTTGTCAATCATTTTCTGATAAAATCATCATCTTTTTGTGTCTTTTCATCTGTTTCCACTGGTTTTCTAGAAAATTTGAGGTTGGATTGTGATTGTATATCATTCTTTTAAGCTTCATCTGCTTCACTTCAAGTTCGATTGGATATTTTCCCCCATTTTTACTGCTTTCTTCAGGTTTTTACTGCTTACTGATACTTTGATTTTGCAACCCATTTGAAGGTTACCTTTTATATTGCTAGATTCTGGTTTACTTTTTGTCTTGATTTAAGTTGCTAGAAACCCTTTTCAGTTTGAGCTTTGATTCCTTTAGCATCTTTGCCATTCCATCAATTCTGCATTCAGCCATGTCAAAATATCTTCTGTTAGAATGTTTCAGCAACCAGTTTAGTTCAGTCGTCAGGAAATTATTCGCTTATTCCTGAATTTTATACATAAGATCTAATCAAATTGCTTCTTTAGATTGTTCTTGAATTGACCCTTTTAGATACTGTCGGAACATATTCTGTTTTGTTTGATCAATTGGGAAAATTTCCAACTTTCTGATTGAAATTCTCATTTATCCAGATTGATGCAGAGGACTTGATCTTCAAGGATAGGAAAAGATCCAATCTTGATCGGATCTGGTGCAGCTAGTAAGCTTGTGTTTGTTTCTATAGTTTAAGGTAGAAAAGGATCATAATCTTGTTCTAGGTAACGAAAACATGGGTTACAATTGTGATTATTGTGGGGAGGCAAGATCGATGGTGTATTGTCGATCTGATGCAGCCTACTTGTGTTTATCGTGTGATCGCAATGTTCATTCTGCGAATCCGTTATCAAAACGCCACATGAGAACACTCGTGTGCGATGTGTGTAATTCACAGCCCGCACTCGTTAGATGTGTGGATGAAAAGGCTTCGCTTTGCCAGAATTGCGATTGGGTAGGTCACAACGGAGCTAGTTTAGGTGCAAGTACACATAGTCGGCAGACCTTAAATTGCTATTCAGGCTGCCCAACGGCTGTCGAACTTTCTTCTATTTGGCCCTTTATGTCAGAATCTTGTGAACAAGAAATGGGTTCAATGAGCATTGCTGATAACAGCCAAGAACCTTCTGAAAACGACAATACTCAAGATTCATCTATGCCGGTTGAGACCAGTGATTTGCAGATTGAAAATAACTCGAATGATTGGATGGGTTCGCTCCTCCAGGACGATAATAGGTCACAGGATATCTATCGCCAAGGAAAACCGTTGAGTTCTTCTGCAAATAAGGTAATTTTTTTCTGTTTTTCTGTCAAATTAGTTGTTTCGATTGAAGTGGATGATCACAAAATCTTTAAAAGGTCGATCTTTATGGGGTTTAATGCATAGTTTACTTGCAGATATCGTGTTCAGGGACAAAAGATTCTGAAAAAGTTGCTGATGATGGACTCTATGATGATTTCACCATGGATGAAGTTGACATGAATATCGAGAATTATGAAGAACTCTTTGGTGTAGGCCATAACGACCCGAAACATCTTTTTGCAAAAGATGGGATCGATAGCTTGTTTGGGATGAGAGAAACGACGACAAAGGTATTACTGATCCGAAATCTCTTGAAATATTCACTTTGATTCATAAATGAATTTGCGTCTTTAAGGTTTTGTGCATTTATCCTTTTCTAAGTTTCGGTTGTTTTGGTTAGGACTCTGCAAATGCAGTAGAACCAGCATGCAGTAACGCAGCCTCGGTGGATTCGCTAATGAGCTGCAAAACCGAACCGAACCCTTGTCACGCAAGGCAACTTTCGTTTTCAAGTCTCACCGGTGATAGCAGTGGTGGCGAATATCAAGACTGTGGAGCTTCGCTTCCAATGGGCGAGCCACCTTGGTGCACCCCTGGTCCTGGAAGCACCACCATCAGGAGCGATGCCGTCCTTCGTTACAAGGAGAAAAAGAAGATGCGCAAGTGAGTCTTTGCATATAACTTTTCTAACGTTGAAGTCCCATATCAGCTAGACACAAACCATGAAACATATATATATATATATATATATATATATATATATATATATGAACCTTCCCTCTCTAGAAAGATTATTTGAGAGAGAGAGATTCAAAGGGTTTTCATATATTTTCACGTGGTATCAGAGCACTTCACATTCTTCTAACAATATCATCTTCTATGTCATGATCACCCTTCTGACCTTGATTTTTTTTTGTGCGCAGATTTGAGAAGAGAGTAAGGTATGCAACACGAAAGGCGAGAGCCGATGTGAGAAAACGTGTGAAAGGTCGGTTCATCAAGGCGGGTGACGCTTACGATTACGATCCTATGAGTGAAACAAGAAGCTTCTAAGAACATATAAACACAAATCTCTTAGGGTTTCTGCAACTCTTTAGGTGGATCATAGCAGAGAGATGAAGAAGACTGGTGATGGTGAATTGTTGCATGTACAGAATGGGAATGGGAGGAGATGTGTTTAAATTACAGTTGAAGTTTAATTAGGGTTTGAGTCTTGACAATTTTATGGTCCATCTTTGGACTGGTTTTTATGTTTTAATTGTATGTAGCTTTTTTGGGGAAGTTTTAAGGATGCAATTCTTGTTTGTCAAAATTAATAATTTCGAGCAACGGGGACGGGCGTTTTCGTCAGCGAATGTGGTGTAACCCGAGAAAGAAATTCGAACTCGTATATGCCGATGGTTAAAATAGACTCGGTAAGAGACAACAAAAGAATGTATAGAAAACGGAACCGTTAACTCGCATGTACATATTCTTGATTCTTGAAAATGAGTTTGTGCAAAAGGGTTTGTAACCGATAATTCTTGAGTCGGTCATCATGTGAGAGTTAAATCAGATACGCAGTGGTCTGTTAGGTGAGTTCAGTGTTTTCGAGGAGGCTGATCCTCTAAAGGAATTGTAACTCTTACAGATACGGATGTGATGTATAGTATATGCAAATTTCCATTTTGATAAATTGTTCAACACTAGACCTAGAGTGTGGTTTGTGGTAGTCGTTCACGAGAACGTCGTCCGTTCCTACACCGTCCCTGGTTTCTTGCATACGGCTTGATTTCCAGGTAACTTATCTTAACAAGTATCGTTTATATTACGTGAAAGGGTTAAGACGATAATATCAACAATTTTTAAAAATAGCAAACTTACCCGGGGAATCAGAGGCATCCCATGAACGGTTATTTTATTCTTGTTAATTTGATAGCCATATTAATATATATTCAATTTTTAACTCGGTATTTAAAATTTCAATTATATGCGAGTATATATATATAAAATATTTTTATTATATTATATAACATTTAAAACTTATTATTACATACTATAACCTATCAATACATTTGAAATATGAATTAGAGGGATGATAAAACGAGAATGATACATATTTAAAAGAATAAGAGAATAATTATGTGTCAATCATTTCATTAATTAATACCTTAAATAAAAATTTCTTAAAAATCGTTTGAAAAAGTATATGTGTCATTTGTTGTATACAAATTATATATGGAAATTCATTTATTTATATAAAGATTATTTAATAAATTTAAGGTATTTCAAAAATATTTATATACAACAAATGACATATGTGTCCTTTGAGATGATTTTTAAGAAAATCTTTATTTAAGGTAGTATTTAATTAAATGACTGGTCCATAATTATTCTCTTATTCTTTTAAATATGTATCATTCTCGTTTGATCCTCTCTCTATGAAATTAAGTCATAACCAACTGATAAATATGTTCAAGTAATGACAAACATTGAGTCTTACTAATACAACAAAATACTCCATAAAACTAATAACCAACAAAGTATTCTCTTAAAACCACACAAATCCATAAAATGAAATCCAAATAAATGAAACAGAGATGTATTACGCTGTTTTATGCAAGTACACTTCTAGTTATATTATAAAGCATTTAACTTATATTCTTTCAAATATAGAATATATATTGTGTTTCATTCTTGGCCCAAACATCATTGACTTATTGTGATTTATACTATTTTAAATGGGCCTATCAAGAGCACATGAAGTATGGGCTTAATAATCTATGGCCCAAAAATTCCTCTTATAAAGACACAATATTTGTCTATTTTAAATAGTATTTATTTATGTCAAAGTTGATCAGTAACAATTCCAATCGGTCCTATACGGAATCTGTCTCCAAAAACATCAATGTGAGGTATTTTTGACTTACTCAATGAGCTTTGACTTAACCTATCTTTTTTTCCCACTCTAATCACACAGTTATTTTTAACATGAAAAATATTTTATTAATAAAATAATGTACTCTTTTTGTTGTATTATTTGCTATTTGCATATTCGAGTGTGAAAACGAATACAATAATGATTATAGCGCCTAAAAAGCGACATCGGGGGTCAACCGATCCCTGTTTTTAATGGCTTTAAATAGGTCTCTACTCAAAATTAGAGTAACTGATAGAGAGAAGGTGGGATTTTATATTTATATGTCGATTTGTGATTCTATATGCAGGCAAAGAATCGTGTGAGAAAAAAAGTTAAAGTGAGAAGTTTAAAAAAAGATTTGAACCCTTGATCACTTTTAATCTTATGTCCACCCATGTATTACGTTTTAGAAGAGAACTGATCTCGTGCATCTCGATTATGATCCTTTTCTAATTTTTCCTTTAGTTTGTAGTTAAGATTTTATCTCACGGTTATCATAAATTACTGAATTTTCCCTCGACTAACCTCATATTTAATCAATCGATTGATTAACAAAGTGGAACATATTGATTATTTTAATTTTTAATAATATTTTTCTGTTTGAAATTATCTAATATATCGTCAAGAAAAAAAAAGACAGAAATACCCATAAGCTTCACTTGTTACTATTTTTTGCCAAACAGACAAAAAAACAGTTTTTATAGATCAGATATGAAAACAACAATAAACAGTAAACCACAAACACGTGAACAGTTGTCTCCTCTAAAAAAATATTAATAAAAAAGACAAAGAGTCTAGAATATAGTGCAACATTGTTCACTATCACCAACTTGATGATTGTTTTGGTGTTCCATTACACCATCTTCCAAATCAGAGTTTTTATTGTAATTTAAAAAAAAATATTTATTGAAGAAAATATTATTTGGACAAAAGCAATAAGTACTTAAAACAAAAATATATATTTTATAATAAATATATCATTAAAAATATATTCAATAGATTCTTTAAGATAGAGAAAACTTATAACAACTGTTTTGTATAAATAAAAAGTGAGAACTGTTAGCTCCTTATAAATCACAAGTAGTGAACTATCAATAATTTTCACCATGGTTTTAAGTTGGATTCGAAGTTATTGACTCATTGCGTTGATTTAGGCTTTGGGGGTGTTACAAAACTGATATTTTACTTTTTATTTGACTTCAACAAATTTTTTATATATTGTTCTCTAAAATAGAGAACACATGGAAAAACTCCAAGTTTACATTTTTTTTTCATTTTCACCAATAAAATATTTAATTTATTTTAAAATTTTTTATTAATTAACTAATATATGTAAGGTCGACCAACTTTATTTTTATTCAATATTATATGTAATGGTTATTTGAAATCGTCATTCAATGTAGATATTTTCTAAAATTTGCATTTGGTTATACAAATCCAAATTCTTTCACATTATATACAAAATAATAATAAATCAAATTAAAATCTATTATTAACATGTTATATTATTAGTAAATTGTTTTAAATATATTATATAATATTAAATTT